AAGGGTAAATAGTGTTTTAGTAAAGGTAACCAAAGAAAGCCAGTTTTCCTAAATGGAATTGGCATGATTGTTTTTGCTTTTCGGCAAATATTGTCTTTGTTTTCGAGGCCAGGGGGAATGAAAAAAGAATAATTCCAAAGTAGGGGTGAAAATAAGGAATCGAGTCTTCAAATCTTTAGGGAGACCAAAAGAAGATCATTAAATTAAAGGAAATTTTTCTCAATTTTTTCCCTCAGAAAAAATTGTTCTTCCCTTTTTTCTTCGATACCATATTTGTTTAAAAAAGAGTGAAGCTTATACAGTAATTTTTCAAATAGACGAAGACGATGCTGGCTGGAGAAACACGAGGAACTTGGAGTGTTGCTTGGAAAAAGAGATAAGTTATAAAAAGCGTTATGACTTTTGCTCGGAGCAAGCCAGCAACTTATAAAGATGTTCATCATTAAGACATCCACGAATAAATTCTTCTTTCGTTAGCACGTGGTCTGAGTTCACATCCATTTTATGAAATATGGCTTTTGTGCGTCCCTCTGGAGTGTTGGTTGGCCCAGGATCAATTTCACCAACCATCAAATAAATGGCCTGAAAAAAAGGTCAGAATATCTTTATACTTATCATATATACCTCCATCATAAGCAAAAATGTTAGAATCTAGCAAGAAAGATAAAAGTATGAGGGTGATTAATAAAGATTCGCGGAATTAGACGTAGGTTCGATGGGTTAGGTGGCAAAAGCTAGCCTTTTTGTTGTTAAAAATTGCTGAATAATCTCAAACAAAGCCTGATCCATCCAAAAAAGGAGTCTCTACGGTGCTTTTTCCATGAGAGTATAAATAAAAACCTAATGACTTACGAAATAAGTATAAATACCAGTCATACTCCAAATTTTGGCTGATTATATTTTGACTTCATCTGAAGCATGATTCGCCTTTTGCCTGGAGCTACGACTTGTGTGTTTAAAGCTCATTGCACCATCACAACATTAGCATTGCCAATGCACATCATCCCCAATTTTTTTAATTAGACTTTATGACTCAATGTGTACTAGCCCTTTCTTGTCGAGTTGATTATAATCACGTATTTTGTATGGGTCAAGTGGCAGTTGCCATTTCTGAGATACATAGTTTCAAGTAAATCAAGATTAGGGAACGTTCTGAATCAGGGAGAAATGCCGCAAGTAGTATCCGAACGAATTCTACGCTTTAGAATGAAGTTGATCAAAGTCAGATCATTGGTTTTTGGAAGGAATATTTACGATACCGCAAATTTAATCAACAAAAGCCTATCTAATCGAACTGCAAATTGTACCGCTAAACATGCCTAACGTACCCATATACTTCCGAGAAGCCATAGAGCTGTATGAGTAAGCGTGATTGGAGCGGTATGTAATGTAATTCTTCCAGAGTTGACGAATACTTACAATAAGTCACTAAATAACTTACATTTTAATTAAGATTACTAAGGTGCTCGAGATCATTCATGTGGATTATAAAATATGTAGATAAGGAACAGAAAAAAGAAAAAAGCTGAAATTTTAATGGTCACATAAACCATGAGCTATCCATCATAAAAAACTGTTTTCGGCATCACCATTTAAATGGGAATTTTTCTATTTTAATGAAAACATGTTAAACTAGGAACAAACTATTCGTGCTTCTTTCAAAAATTTGAAATGTATAAATGTGTGTCAATATAATCATAAGTTGGTTCTAAATGGATAGTGAACAGTTAGCGAATTCGTTATTGAGAACAATTAGCAACGTTTACATAAGAAGGCTCCAAAAGAAGGCCACCTCCTGGATGTACTAATTGGCTGATTAACTTTGATTAACTTCTCTCTTTTATTTACGCTACCGGTTCCTCAGCATGCTACTAGACGGAAGATAAGTGGTCGAAAGAAAATAAATGCCAATATTTAATAAAAAGCATATTTTAAACGTGAAAACAACTACACTAAGGCAAGGACCACAAATAAAACCCATTTAATAATAATTTTATTCGTGCCATTCCCAAATTGATATGAGTAGGTCTTCCATCTCCATTAAATTTCACTTCCCTCTGCTTCCCAAAACTATTCTTATCCAGGACGAACTGAGATTTCGACTTTGCCTGGACTGGTCTCATAAGCATCCCAAGGAGTAATGTGGTCGATTGAAATTGCAAATATAAATGCTTCGACAACGATCCAATTGCAGAAAGTGCTATAGAAACAAACTGACCTTCTTCAAAATTCATGTATGCCATGTGATGCAAGGAGACTTGTAGCCGTCTGGCTTAGTGGTTAAGGTGTAGATACGATACACAGCACTATCCAGCTTCAAGTACATCTGGGAGTGTTAATGAGGCCTATCTAAAGTCGAAAATGCAGTTAAATCGGGATGAGAATACATATTTTGGAAGCATGAATACGTGAATTTAAGATATGAAGACCAAGATGGTGTGGCCTCTGGTATGGATACAGTCTTCTTTCGATTTATAGAAGCGTCTATCAACTCTTTAGCCTCTTATCCAACTCCCGACCAATCACAACTTCTCACTTGTTTACATTCCACTCGTCAAAATATGTCTTTCTTTGGCAAATATAGTGTGTGGCCTCATCACACTTGCGATTCACCCCGACCCCTTCTATTTTAATCGGCTAATCCGACTCGGGCCTCCAATCCGGTTCCCTCTCATGGTCCCTTAAATCCGTTCCTTATCTCTAGTGGATTTCTAGTACAGTTCGGCCATAACGTCGAATTTCTGCGATGGTTTGCTTATTCGTCCGCCTAGCTCCATAGACTGCCGGGCCACAAAAGTTGTACTGGTTTATTCGAAACGGACATCACTCACTGACAACCTCTTCGCTTGATTGCCGAAAAACCCGCTTTCCAGTTTCCTCATCGCGATCTCTTTTCCTCCTTGATCCAGACGTCTTCTTTTTGCTGGTCTTTCTCTATTCTTGTTTACCTCGAGCTTGCTTAGGAAGTAGGCAAAGTTATCGCTAACTCTACCTTCGGCCAATCTCCTATTCATTAGATTTTTCTCCCCAATGATGTCAACGGTTTCCCTAATCTTCTGCTTCATTGTGTTGTCACCATATGGGGCTCTTCTTTCTGTTGCTTTCCAATTGACCTCGAGTCCAGTCTGTGCGATGTGTTCCGCTAATTCTGATCTTTTTGTATCCATTTTTCTGCAGAGCCTCTGATGTTCCTTGATTCGTATGCTAATGCTTCTACCTGTTAAGCCAAAATATTTCTGTTTGCACGTACCGCATGGTATACAGTGAACTTCTGAAGTGTCCAATTTATCTACCCTTTCATGATGCATCGGTAGACTTGTTAAAAGTGTTGATTTCTCTTTAATGGCCACCCGAATATACTATTTCCTCAATATTGACCGTCGTTTTTGGGTTAGTTCGCATATTTACTTTTGTGAAAACTTCATCGTCCTTTCTGTCCTTTCATAGTCCTCGTTCTGCCATCGGCTTTTCACGGCCTGTAT